ATAATCCTGAACTGATTCTGTAGGATGTATGTGACCTTTTAGATGCAAAACAATACAATAGCCTCTTGATCTGAAAATTTTCAAAAATCTTAAAATAGTGTACTCATTTTGTGTAGTTTATTTTTCTATTTCTTCCATGAGCAAGGAAGACACACAGAGATAGAGCCAGAACAACCCTAGCAGGGTCTTGATGATCCATCCCCAGCTTCAGCCAGCCATGAATGTGTGCATTCATGTCGCTGGCATACTCGGGAAAGTCTCCTGTCAGGAACTCAGAACCATCCCATGTGGGTCAGCCTCACTGAGTGTCTCGTTTTATTACTGGACCACCATTCAGCCCCCTTATTTTATCATGACTGTTACTTCAATCCACTTGGACTCACTTTTATTACTACAGCATTGGAGCCACATTCATCAAGTGTCATGTCTGGACACAAGCTATAAATTCCAAGTCCCGAAAGGAAAAACATCCTTTTTATAGAAATATTTACCTTCATTATCCTTTTCTTCCACTGAGAAGCTAACAGGCCTATGTAGATTATAGAAAAGGGAGACTAGTTCCCCCAATCACATGGATTCCCCAACAATTTTGGGATTCAGCCCAAAGCAGAAATGAAAACAAGATATCCATACAGGTGGAGGTTTATTATCCCTGAAATTTTCAAAACAACAAAGCTGGTTATTGTTTCTTTAGCTGCCATCTAGTGGTTAATGGTGTAGTGTCAATGAAATATGTTTGGGGAACATTGAGAGATCTGCCTCTCTTTAAAACAAAAAACACAGTTCAAGAAATATTACCGACACGAAGCAACTATCGTTTCTATTAATTCTTATCTATTAATTCAAAAGTTGCATTACCTTTCCTGTCTCCTGGCCTACATCCTTTCTTTGTGCAAATAAAAGTGATCTGATCATCAAATATTGAATTTACACTAATACTAGACACTAGGAGTACAGCTAGAAGGACAAAGAATTTAAGGTCCCTGTCTTCTAGGGAGGAAAAGCATAAAAGCTAAAAACAAATAACAAGTCACATGATGAGTGCTTAAAAGAGTATGAGAAGACTTCAAAGGGTTTATGGAAAAATGGAATTCAAGTACAAATGTCTTGGATCGGCTCCATAGCCTAGTGTTCAAGGGAACTGGATACTACATGGTCAACTGCAGTTTGAATCCCAGTGCTAGTGGGGCTAGTGTGTGTGTGTGTGTGTGTGTGTGCTTAAATCATGATGGGATGACAAAATGGAGAAGAAGGGACTGTGGTCTGACCATGCCCCCATTGGGAGATGCTATCTGCCTCCCCCACCTCCCATGTGGGAAGCATGTATGCCCTCTGGCAATTTTTTTAAAAACTGCCAGTTTATTTTGGTGCAAAAAACATCTGAAATCCATGCATAGTCTTTTTTCATGATATGCAATTTTCCACACACAGAATCCTTTATAGTCAGGAAAGATATCACCAAGGAAAAAGCCTTTAACTCTGTACTATTTTGTTGTTGTTGTTGTTTTGCTTTTAATTAACCCATTATAATTGTTCCTATTTACAAGGTACAGTGTGATGATTTGATACATGTATACATTGTGTAAGAATGGAGTCAGGGTATTTTTATTATTATTATTCTTATTTGTTTTTCTTCCTTTTATTTATTTTTACATTTTTCCACAAACATGTACTTTACATATCAAAAAATTTTAGCTCATACTCCATAGTTCTTGACAGTTTACAAACAACTTTCAAAATTTCAAAATACTGAATTTTAAAGATAATGTTCAAAATATCTTATAATTTTTGTATAATTTGGAGTCAGGGTATTTGGCATATCCATCACCTCATACGTCTGTCACTTCTTTGTGGTGAGAACATTAAAACTCCTCTCTTGTAGCTGTTTGGAAATATACCATTCAGAAGAGTTTGAATTGAGGCTTAAATGATGAGAATGATGAGTGGGAGCTCTCCAGATAAGAAGAGAGTTGGAGGCTGTGTGTTGGAGAACACTAAGAAACTATGTCAGGAAGATAGGCAGAGGTGGATTGGAAAGTGCCTTGTGAGACTTTATCAGGTAGCTATTTTATAATAGTAACAAATAACCTCAGAACTCCAGTGGCTAAAACAAACAACACTTTTTTTTTTTTTTTTAACTACTCATCACTGTGAGTGAGCTGGGATAACTGTGCCTGTAAGTCTCTCATCCTCTTCTAGGGTCATTCTGGGAGCTATGGGCTAACCTCACCATGTCCTTTCCCTATCTTCAGGTGAAGGTCAAGGAAAAGAGAAGAAATATGTAAGGCCCCTTCAGCCCTAGACTTGGAACTTGCAAAGTGTCTCTTTTCTGCATTCTATTAGCCCAAGTGAGTCACTTGGCTAAACCCATGTTAAGGGGCCTGGGAATGTCCTCCACCTCTTTAAAGGAAAGGACAGCAAAATCACATAGCAAAGCACTCAAATGGAAGATAGAAGAGAAACGGGTACAGTAATGCAATCGGCCACCTTGAATATGAGAGGGTTGATTATTGTGGGATACTGTGATATAGGTTGAAATAGAGAGATGGTTTTGAGTCATGGGTCCCAGAGTCCAAAGACCCCAAACATGCAAACTTCTGGGCCCATCCTACAAGAACTAACTCAGAATCTCTGGGTAGTAAAGTTGAGATTCACATTTTAACTAATTCCCCAGATGATGATTTCTAGTCACACGGAAGGTTGAGACACACTGGTGGATACTCAATAAAATAGAGAAAAGAAGAGATGAACATCAAAAGGAAATCAGTGAAAAGAGGAAATAAGTCCCACAAAGAATACTAGCAATAGTGAAAAAACAATAAGGGATATGAAATAAGCACTAAGTCCACACACCAGTTGGGAAAAGATTAAAACCTAAATGTGTGTATTCAATTGTGTCAAATAGGACAAGGACTGAAAAAGCCTTGCATATCGGGAACCAGCAGTTAGCGTAATGGTTATGTCACTGGACTCCCACGTAGTCAATCGTGGTTCGCATCCCAGACCCGGTGGCTTAAAACTCATGCCGGGCGCGTGTGCGTGCGTGCCCAAGATCCCGAGAGGAGAATGGAGGAGAAGGGATTGCGGCGTGACCATCCCCCCTGGGGGGTGATTTCTCGCTTTCTGTCTCTAATGTCTCTCTCTGTCTGTCTGGCGAGCGCATGTGCCCTATAGCGAAAACCTCTCAAAAAAAAAAAAAAAAGAAAAAAGCCTTGCATATCTGGCAATTAGGAAATATTTTTTGAATAGGATACAGTACTGACTCCAGGATAGCATTAGGCCTATTTTGCAGATGAAAAGGTGAGGGGGAGGGGGGAGAAATGGTGGCATGAAGCAAAATGAATTCCACCATCTTTTCCATTTCTTCTCTCACAAATCCCATATTATCATGATGAAGATAAGTCCACAATTAAACTGAATGGCAGGACCCAAGTTCCAGTCTGTAGTGGGTGGATGCTGGGCACAGCTTGGAAGGCACCACACTGAAGAGTGACTACTCAAAGAGATTCATATAAAGACACCTTAACTAAATGTGGTTTGCTTGAATATACATGATCGATTACACACACACACACAATTACATCTACAACTCTATTTTAAAGAAATATCTCATGATCTCATTGATGGTGGCAGATTGCATAGGGAAAAGTTAATGTACCTAATAATGCCATTAAGCTTTAAAGGAAGCCCTAAAATATATCCAGTCAGGGACTAGGAACTAAAAGACAAAGTGGAGAGCTCTCCATTTAGACAAAGAACTTCATCTAATTTGAGCCTAGATGAGTGAGTCACAAACCAATGAATATCTTCTTCTTGAGGGTTTGCCTACAGTGTGGTTTTAGATACAGTAGTATCTCCTACAAAGGGTTATTGTTGAGAAATAAATGAGCTTTTACAAAGAATGTGCTTAAAAAGGTGCCTGGCACACAAATAATCAATAATCGTAAGCTATTATTAAGGTATCTAGAGCTCTCCAAAGATTTTGCATAGGAGTGCTAATTGTCCCATGCTTTAAAATTTGAAACATCCAAGGCTGGGGTTGTTGAATGTTGAGAATCAAGTCCCAAAGCATAGGACATGAGGTCCCTGCCAGCAATACAGTGCTCCAGTAAACTCAGCTGAACTCTAACACACTTGTGTCTAAACAATTGAGTAGTAGTTATCTCTCTGTGTCCATTTTAATCTGGTAACAAAACTTAACCCTAAGAAATTTCGATCTCTTGGAGGGAGGAGAGGAAAGCCTCATAAAAACCATGAACTCACAGTGGCAGTTCATTCTACCGACTTGCACAGATTTTTATTTATTTATTTATTTATTTTTTGAAGAGTTTTTTGCTATAGGGCGTGTGCGCTCACCAGACAGACAGAGACAGAGAGACAGAAAGGGAGAAATCATCCCCCAGGGGGGATGGCCATGCCACAATCCCTTCTCGATTCTCCTCTCAGGATCTTGGGCACATATGCACACGCGCCCGGTGTGAGTTTAAGTCACGGGGTCTGGGACGCAAACTGTGGTCGACTACGTGGGAGTCCAGCAACATAGCCATTACATTAACTGCTGGTCCCACACAGATCTGATTATTCATCTTTTTTAAAAAAATTTTTTAATTTAATTTTATTTATTTATTTATTTTAATTTTCTATAGGGCACATGTGCTCACCAGAAATAGACACATAGAGAGAGAGAGACAAAGAGAAGGAAAGTGAGAAAGCAAACCACCAGGTCCAGAACTCAAATCACGGTTGGTCATATGAATGCCCATCACCTTAACCATCGTGCCACCTGCAGATCCTGTAACTATTCATCTTATAAGCCTTAAATTTTACTGAAAAATAGATTTCTCTTTCTCCTCAGGTGTTCTCAGATTCCGACATTGTTCTCTGAAAGTTCAAATCTGAGACTAAACCTACAAAAAAAAAAAAAAAGATGCCTCCTTAAAGTAGAAAATGACGGTAGAAAAGAAAAACTTCCTCATAACTCGATTTCTTTCTATTTAAAGATATACAAAGCCTAGAGAAGCTCCTGAGAGATGCTGTCATCTACGGCCAGCCTCGAACACGCAGAGCTTGGAAAAAGATTCTCATCCTGGTGGAAGGGATATACAGGTATGTAAATAACCAGAAGCACTTTAACACCCTGGGCCCACAATAATCTGAGAAGTGATGAAGTGTTGACCTTTCCTAGCTAAATGGAGAAATGACCTAAATATGAAAATCAAAAGAGGGAGCTGTGGGGAGAGCTACCCCTGGGAACTGTCAGATCTTGGGTCCCATCTTTTTGATGACTCTGTGCTTATGGTGGAGCTCCTTGGAGATGGTACACTTGGAAAGCCTTCCTCAGAAACATCTTCACAGGACATTACTAACTTGGGTTAATTCTTTCCACTATCTTTGGTTGCCCCAGTTTTAAAGACCTGTTGCAACTGAGTAATTCGACATCAGAATGCTTCTTGCCCTTTGTTTTTTGGAGAGGTTTTCGCTATGGGGCGCGTGCGCACACCAGACAGACAGAGAGAGACATAGAGACAGAAAGCAAGAAATCATGCCCTGGGGGGGATGGTCACGCCGCAATCCCTTCTCCTCCATTCTCCTCTCGGGATCTTGGGCATGCACGCACATGCGCCCAGCATGAGTTTTAAGCCACCAGGTCCAGGACGCGAACCACAGTCGACTACATGGGAGTCCAGTGACATAGCCGTTACGCTAACTGCTGGTTCCCCAGAATGTTTCTTGCCTTTATAACTGTAGTAGATGTTGCTGACGGGCAGCCCAGACATCTTAACTGGACAGTTTACCAACCCTCAGCTGCTTGCTGAACTTGGGCAATGATTAGCATTAGAATACAAAGGCCTGCCAGTTTTCATCAATGTAGAACTAACCTGAATTGCAATTCTCACACGAGAGCTGAAGCTGGGGGTGGAAAGATCTTGGCATCTGAAGCTATGTTCATGTCTGAGTTTTTCTACTCCCTTAAAATAAGCATATAAACCACCCTCTAAGCCAAGAAGAACTGAATTTTTATATTGCAAATTGAGAGAAAATTTGCTTCATTCTCTGTCTGAATTGATTATCATTATTGACATGAAAATTGTAGTCAAGCATTTCTTCTGTTGGATGCCTTAGTCCATAAGCCAAGGAAATATTATCTCAGAATGCGCATTCCTAAATTAATTTTCAAACAATCCTTAGAAGAGTCAAGGGAGATATTTTCCATAATATAATGATAGAAAACTAAAAAATAGGCTCAGCCACAGTGGCACAGTGGTAGCCCAATGCTTGCAATGCAGGAAACCATATGAAAGATCAGGGTTTGGTTTCCAAATTTAACAGTAAACCCTGGCCGGGAAGGCTCAAGGGTGGAGGAGGAACTATAGCTTGAGACATTATCGACAGTGTTTGTCTTTCTCTCAGAAGGAAGGAAGGAAAGGAGGAAAGAAGGAAGAAAGAAAAATGGTGAAAAATACTAAAAAGAAGGCAATGAGGGCTGCTTAAGTTCTCAACCAGGAGGATTATGACTGTAGAGGGGGTTTAGTACAAAGTGAGATTCCTTTATTCCAGCTAATCTAATCAATCCCTAAGTGAACATCAGTTGTTACATGAATGAATAACTAACAGCAGAAGAAATGCACCTCCATCTCTTTTTGAAAAAAAAAAAAAGTTAGTTCTCCCAATTTTAAAATAATGAGCCTGCTATTGTTTCATTTATTTATTTACTTACTTACTTATTTACCATCAGTACTTACCATCCCACTGGCTGCTGTTTCGGAAGTTCCCAGTCCTACTGAAGAATTGCAAAGTGGGCACTTCCAGTTTCTAGTAGCCCACTTTCTGCATCACTGAGCAGTACTCCCTAAGGCCATCCGTGAGAGAATATCCTATCTGTGAAGTATTTGAGATGGCTTTAGATCAATGGTTCTCATGGTGATTTTGCAACACCCCCACCCCCAATTTGGCAATTACTGGTTGTCACAACTGCGGTAGGGTATGACTGGCATGTAGTGGGGAGAGGTGAAGAAAGGTGCTAAACATCCTATGGTACACAAGACATCCCCCACCCCCAGCAAAGAAATTTCTAGCTCCAAATGTCAGTAGTGCCAAGGTTGACAAATCTTGGCTCTAGAATAATTAACAACTCACTGGCACTAAACTTGCTTCTTTTAGGAAATAACTTTGTATTGATTCTGCGCTCTTGTAACCTCAAGCATGGCTGTTTCTTCCTGTGTGATTTGTGCCAGCTGCCAGCCTGGGAGGGAAGCAAACAGTTCTTATCTAAACACCTGTCATTCAGGCCTGGACCAGTGGGAGGACAGATTGGCGGGGGGAGAGCAGGCTGAGCATCTCTTTTCACCAAAGTGAATGGAACCCAACTACAAATAAACAGAACTTGGCTTCTCTAAAGGAAAGTAGCATTTTAAACACTTTGATCATGGCTTTGAAATTAAGTGGACCACCAGCATTTTACTGTCAAATATTCCTCGTACTTACATAGAGAAGTTACTCTACAGCAGGCTTTTTGTTGTCTATGCCAGGCCTATCTCCTACCATGACATCGGAAAGGCAAGGGAGCCAAGTATAGACTTCTGGTTTCAAGCCAGTATGATATCTAACCAGTTTAAGTTGCACTATTAGTGGTGACTGTTCTGCTATTTGTTGTCATGTAATGAACCACTCCAAAGCACAATGGTTTACACGGCAATAATTTAGGATTTCCCATGCTACTGTGAGTGGTCTTGGCCATTCTTTTGCTCCACATGATGTTGGTTGAAGGTCATTCATAAAAAAAAAAGTTAGTTCTCCCAATTTTAAAATAATGAGCCTGCTATTGTTTCATTTATTTATTTACTTACTTACTTATTTACCATCAGTACTTACCATCCCACTGGCTGCTGTTTCGGAAGTTCCCAGTCCTACTGAAGAATTGCAAAGTGGGCACTTCCAGTTTCTAGTAGCCCACTTTCTGCATCACTGAGCAGTACTCCCTAAGGCCATCCGTGAGAGAATATCCTATCTGTGAAGTATTTGAGATGGCTTTAGATCAATGGTTCTCATGGTGATTTTGCAACACCCCCACCCCCAATTTGGCAATTACTGGTTGTCACAACTGCGGTAGGGTATGACTGGCATGTAGTGGGGAGAGGTGAAGAAAGGTGCTAAACATCCTATGGTACACAAGACATCCCCCACCCCCAGCAAAGAAATTTCTAGCTCCAAATGTCAGTAGTGCCAAGGTTGACAAATCTTGGCTCTAGAATAATTAACAACTCACTGGCACTAAACTTGCTTCTTTTAGGAAATAACTTTGTATTGATTCTGCGCTCTTGTAACCTCAAGCATGGCTGTTTCTTCCTGTGTGATTTGTGCCAGCTGCCAGCCTGGGAGGGAAGCAAACAGTTCTTATCTAAACACCTGTCATTCAGGCCTGGACCAGTGGGAGGACAGATTGGCGGGGGGAGAGCAGGCTGAGCATCTCTTTTCACCAAAGTGAATGGAACCCAACTACAAATAAACAGAACTTGGCTTCTCTAAAGGAAAGTAGCATTTTAAACACTTTGATCATGGCTTTGAAATTAAGTGGACCACCAGCATTTTACTGTCAAATATTCCTCGTACTTACATAGAGAAGTTACTCTACAGCAGGCTTTTTGTTGTCTATGCCAGGCCTATCTCCTACCATGACATCGGAAAGGCAAGGGAGCCAAGTATAGACTTCTGGTTTCAAGCCAGTATGATATCTAACCAGTTTAAGTTGCACTATTAGTGGTGACTGTTCTGCTATTTGTTGTCATGTAATGAACCACTCCAAAGCACAATGGTTTACACGGCAATAATTTAGGATTTCCCATGCTACTGTGAGTGGTCTTGGCCATTCTTTTGCTCCACATGATGTTGGTTGAAGGTCATTCATGGCAGTTCATTGAACTGAGAGTTTGGCTGGGTTGGAATATCCAAAATGACCTCACTCACTCATCTGGCCCTTGGTACAGTGTATTGACTGAGGTTTTATTGTTCTCTTCTACATGGCTTTCTCTATATATGTCTCTTCTCATTCAGTAGTCTAGCCAGAACTTCCTTCCAACATGGTGGTTGGCTTCCAGAAGAGAAAAAGCAGAAGTTGCCAGTGTTTTAGTGACTAAGTCTAGAAAAGGCACAAGATCATTTCTGCCACACTCTATTAGCCAAAGCACATCACGAAGTCATCCCATATTAAAGGGAGGTGAAACCTTTTGATGGATGGATAAGTGTGTATGTGTGTACAGGGATAGAAAGACTTGAAAGAAACCATCTGTAGCAGAGATCTACTATGGTGGATCAGTCAACCTAATGTTTATACAAAGTGAAGTCTCCATTGTCCATGAACTTACCTTTGCAAAGAGGTTACTTTACCTCACTTGCATGGAATCATGTCTTTAAATGAGATCATGACATGAAAGGATTCACTTCCAGATAGGAATCAGGGTCTATCTTTAACAGACCTGATTCCTCATCTGTAAAATAAACTAGCCTGTAGCAAGGTTCTAAAACCCTAAATCTCTGAAGAAAAACCTTGATAGAGGTATTCTAATTAGTAACTATCACCAGAAAATGAGGTTATTTCCAATAGGATTTTCCAAAGGGCCAAGGTTAGAAATATGAAATCAATAGTTCACAAATGTATTTCTACTCTTTAGAAGTATATTACTGGGCACACACACTGTTGATATTAACACAAAGCCTTCTTTAAATTTTAACTCTCAGTTTTTTTTCTCTTTCTTGTGATCTGCCACCATGAGCAAAGTAACCTCACCAGATATATCAATTCTTTTTATAACTCCAAAGGAGAGCACTGGGTCAAATAAAAAAGTTACATGCAGGTATCAGATTTTAAAAGGCTAGGGACCAGATGGTGGTGTGACCATAAAATATGATAGACACTCCACAAGGCTGACCCACCTGGGTAAGTTCTGGGTTTGGGTCCAGAGACCGCACTGAGAATGTGCCCACGTTCTGAAACTGGCTGAAGCTGAGAATGGATCATAACATTACATGTAAAATAGAAAGAAGTTAAAATTTAAAGGCATGCCTGGGAAGCTGGGTTCAAATTCCGGTGTCACCACCTACAGCTGTATGCTCTTCACAGGGTATCCCTGTAAGAATAGATGAGTGGATAAAAGGCCTGGCCAATAGAAAGCCTACAACCAAGGGCAGCTGTCTTCATTAATTCATTGGTTTTCAGTCAAAGAAGTTGTAGCTCAGGAAACAATAAGCCACCTCTGTAGCAAAGATGTTTGCTCTTCATACATCCGGAGGACAGGTGTCAGAAGAAAGAAACTTACATTGACCATGTATTTCTTCCTTGCTAAAGATTTCACAGGTACAACCTTGAGTAAGCCTCCCAGTTCCCCTGAGGTTATTATGAAAATGAAGAAACTGAGACTCAGAGGCCTAGATTACTTGCCCCAGAGCAGATAACAAAAATGAAACAGAGCTATGATTAAAATCAGGTTGCCCTAGTGGTACAGAGGCTCAATAAACAGAAGAGTCAGCCCATGTGCCCATATCCAGTGAAGTAAAAATGGAAAATGTGTGGTCACCCATTCAACTTTCACCTTTAACCTATCTAGGCCTCAGGTCCTTCGTCTGTAAAATAGGGTAAAAGTTGAAGTCAAAAATTATATGAATCTGTGATTTTTAGTTAAAAAGCATAATAGTATTAATTTAGTGTTCAGTCTATATTTTCCTTTAAGTATTATTTTAAAGTCACATTTTTCTAATTTTATGCCTGAGAAGTCTAGGATTCTTGTCAACATATAGTGGTTGAGAAATGTTGAAATTATTCAAAAATATACTGGAAGAGGGGTGATGTCCCCAGTAACCTAGACATGAACTAGCATAGTTGGAACCCAACTTTTAAAATGAATCAAGAAATAATATCCACCCCTTCCCTCAAAAAATACATATATAAACAAATGCTAAAGTCTCAGAATGCCATTTAGTCAAAGAAGGTAATTCATTATCCATCCCAAAATAATTCAAGTTGAAGGACTGAGACTTCACTGGTAAATTCTATCCTATATATTTATGGTTTAAACACATAAACACAAACAATATGAAGCAGTACTTTTTTGAGAGAGAGAGAGATTTTTGCTACAGGGTGTGTGCTATCCAGAGAGACAGAGAGACAGAAAGTGAGAAATCATCCCTCAGGAGAAATGGCCATGCATGATTTTCAAGCTGCCAGCAGATAACAAAAATGAAACAGAGCTATGATTAAAATCAGGTTGCCCTAGTGGTACAGAGGCTCAATAAACAGAAGAGTCAGCCCATGTGCCCATATCCAGTGAAGTAAAAATGGAAAATGTGTGGTCACCCATTCAACTTTCACCTTTAACCTATCTAGGCCTCAGGTCCTTCGTCTGTAAAATAGGGTAAAAGTTGAAGTCAAAAATTATATGAATCTGTGATTTTTAGTTAAAAAGCATAATAGTATTAATTTAGTGTTCAGTCTATATTTTCCTTTAAGTATTATTTTAAAGTCACATTTTTCTAATTTTATGCCTGAGAAGTCTAGGATTCTTGTCAACATATAGTGGTTGAGAAATGTTGAAATTATTCAAAAATATACTGGAAGAGGGGTGATGTCCCCAGTAACCTAGACATGAACTAGCATAGTTGGAACCCAACTTTTAAAATGAATCAAGAAATAATATCCACCCCTTCCCTCAAAAAATACATATATAAACAAATGCTAAAGTCTCAGAATGCCATTTAGTCAAAGAAGGTAATTCATTATCCATCCCAAAATAATTCAAGTTGAAGGACTGAGACTTCACTGGTAAATTCTATCCTATATATTTATGGTTTAAACACATAAACACAAACAATATGAAGCAGTACTTTTTTGAGAGAGAGAGAGATTTTTGCTACAGGGTGTGTGCTATCCAGAGAGACAGAGAGACAGAAAGTGAGAAATCATCCCTCAGGAGAAATGGCCATGCCTCAATCCCTTCTCCACCATCCTCTTCTCGGGAGTATGGGCATGCATGATTTTCAAGCTGCCTAGTCCAGGACTTAAATGCAGTCGGCCACATGGGTACCCAGTGCCTTAACCACTATACCACCTGCTGGTCCCAGTACTTTATTTTTAATTAATCTTAACTTCTCTTCTCTCTGTCCACCTCTCTTTGTTGTCTTGAGTTACACTTTGAGTTACACCAAAAAGCTTTTTCCACCATGTAAGTTGGCCAACCTGTGGTTGAATTCTCCAGTCTCCTAATGAATGATATAGTTTATGTGGAGGGAAAGGTAGTGAGAAGGAGATTTCAAAAAGGAGGCATGTCACTTAGCTAGTGCATTATGTAATAGAAAATACATAAATAAATTACTCACTGGCTTGCTGGTTTAAGAATAATTCACGTCTCTGCACAGACCTTCAAATTATCTTCACCTACAGTTGTGTTTTAGTTGTTTTTCTTCTGTTGAAATCAAAAGCAAAACACAACCTTCCATTCAAAAAGAAAGAATAAAAACATTATTCTTGTTTTCTTTATCATTTTTGGCACTGTTTTCTGACAGCAGTTCATGTGAATAACATAGATAGCCTTTTTATACATGCGCCAGCATCTCGTATAGGAAAATGTTCAATTCAAATTTGATAGTATTGAGAAAATGAAAACTTACTGCAGGTGAATATAACTCATTAATAGCTGAGTTCTCCCTAAGACTCTAGGCATACTCTGCATTAACTCCAGAAATCAGCAGGATTGTAAAGTCATTAATCTTAGAGAAAGAAATATAAACCAGGTGGGCAGGCTTCTAACATCAGCTAGAGCAGCCCCACGAAGATGGTTAATTAGCTGCCTAGAGTATCTATAAGCACTGTTCAATATTAACTTTGACTCCTGCTAAATTCAGTTTCAGAAAAAAAGAATGACTATTTGTGGCATGGTGAGTTTTTAGTACATTCGTGTATAACATTTTAATGATAGGAAGAAAATTCTAGAATTCCAAGGGCCCAAGGTCATTTATTATGTGTGACACCCACAATAACACCCACATGCCTCATTCTTAGAACATTCAGCACAGAGCATTTCAAGGGCTCCAGTTGCTCAAGTTAGGCCCCCTTGCTCTCATTCCCTTCTAAGCCTCTCTTCCTACATACATCAATTCCCCAAGCACTCACCATAGGTTAGGCACTTTACGAACATGATTTCTAGTCCTCATTACATTAAGCTAGTGAGGAGGATCCCACCATGATGCCTAATTTTATGAGGAAACTGAGGCAGAGAACATGATTTAAGTTGCCGACATCCACAGTTAGTCAGTGGTGTGGCCACAGTCTAAGTCGAGGCCGTCAGATGGCCTTACTCCCTTCTGCCCAATGAAAACAACTTTAATAAGCAATGACCTTTTTTGGTCTTTTATTTCATTAAAATCTGAACTCAGTCATCCCAGACCTACTGATCCTGATGATCTAAACCAACACCTATCAGTCTAAATAGACTATTTTGACCAAGTGGAACTAAAACTGAGGATTTTATTTTGTTTTGTTTTGTTTTCTCTTTACTATGTTAAAGTTATCCTAATAAATGAATTAGGAAGAAGGGAGAAGCTGGGCTGCTTGAGTTACTTAACTAGTTTCGAACTAAGTTGAAGAGTTGCTCGAATTGTTTGACAAGCTCCCTCGTGTGGTGTGTATCTCTGGGCTTCCATAGAACGCTCTTAATAGTGCAGTTAAGATTGTGTGCAGTGTAGATAAAGATTATAAAGTATTTAAAGAAATTATTTGAGTCCAAAGTTTTTCTAAATCCATTAGGTCTCAGACGTACCCTGTAAATAAATTTTATTTATCCACTTCACATTTTTTCCAATGCTGGAGGACTTGAAAGTTTTCTGCAATTTATGATACTGTGAAAAATAGAACACTTCAGAATAAAAAGAAAGGGGGTTATATTTAGCAGCATTCCTCAAAGTGTGGTCACCTTCCCTAGTGTCAGCATCTCCTGGCACCTTAGTAGAAATGTACATGCCCACTCAGACCTACTGAATCAAAAACTCTGGGGTGGAAATCTGTGTTTATACAACACTTTCAGGGGGTTCTATGATAGCTCGACTTTCTGTTCTATTCCCCAAAAGGAATAGAAAAAGGGACATCACTGGGTCTCTCAAATAATCTTTGACTTGCAATGGGTACCAAACAGGAGGTCCTAGGAACTTGCTATTATGCTTCATTTAATACTCTGATGTCTTAAATAAAGTTATTTTGTTAATTTTTAATTCCCTCTTTTAATCTTGGCAATTCAAGCATTGAATTTAGTTCAGATATATCTGTCCATATAGTCAATGGCATGAAGATATAAAGGTGCATCATCAAAACCAGCAGAACACCTAGAATCCAAGTTCAGTCTATTACTCCAAACAGCTTTACAAGTTAATCAGATCAACATTTCAGTGAATTAATTGCTTATTTGGAAATTAGCTACAACAACCCAAAGTATTCAGATCTATTGAGTGCAAATTATTTTATTCCAATAGCATAAAAATGCTGGAGCAGCCTTACTTGATTGACAGAGTTATCTCAGCCAAATATTTTATAATATGACTTCTGAAGAAAGAAATGGCACGTGTCTGTCACCATTCACTAGATGTATCAGATGGGAGACTGACAGAGCTTCTCAGAAGGGTGTCCGTTACTTATGTGCATTTCTCTTTCTGTCATAGCATGGAAGGTTCCATCTTGCATCTACCCCAGATTTTGGCTCTCAAGAAGAAATACAAGGCTTACCTCTACATTGATGAAGCTCACAGTATTGGGGCCGTGGGCCCAACTGGCCGGGGTGTCACAGAATTCTTTGGAATAGACCCTGGCGATATTGACGTGCTCATGGGCACATTCACCAAAAGCTTTGGAGCCTCAGGAGGTTACATAGCTGGAAGGAAGGTAAGAGAGGAAATCCTAGTGTTTGTTTAAAACCTGAACACCCTGGGGACACAATCTACAAGGCTTCTCTGAATTCCCTGAGAAATTCCGCTAAGTACACAATGCCTTGACTGGTCACTGGAACCAAGCAACAGTGGTTCACATATTGCTTGCACTTGACCATATTGGTAAGGTCCAGTGTCGAAGAGCTCTCCCTCAAATAATGAAGAGGAGCATATGATGATTAATCATGTTATAATCAGATGATAACAACATGTGTTTACAAGGTACAAGGTGTGTTGGTAGTCAAGGTGCTGAACTTCCGCATGACTGACCATGGTTCCAGTCCTGGACCTGGTGGCTTGCTTTCTCACCTTCCCTCTCCCTGGGACCAACAGATGGCATAATGGTTATGTCATTGCACTCCCACATGGCCAACTGTAGTTTGAGCCCCAGAGCCGGTACCTTGAAACTCATGCCGGGTACATGCGTGGGCATGATCAAAATGCCAGGGGAGAATGGAGAAGAGATTGTGGTGTGACTATACTCCCTGAGGAGTGATGGCTCTCTTTCTGTCTCTCTATCTCTCCAGCAGGCACCCGTGCCCTACAGCAAAACTCTTTCTAAGAAAGAGAAGAAAAAGAAAGCATAAGAGAGGTTATTTCCATAGCTGGTGGATAAGAGAGTTAGATCCCATATAGCCAACCATAGCTTAAAAAACACTCCAGGCATATGTGTGTGTGTGTGTGTGCCCCAAATCCTGACAGGATGGAGAACTGGAAGAAAAGTGATTGCACTTGACCATCCCACACCATCTCTCTCTCTCTGTCTCTCTATCTCTGGTGAACACACATATGTAAAGAGGAAATAATTAACACTGTAGAGTAGTATCTAGGACTCCTTTTAGAAGGAATGTCAGTTTTCTAGATAAATCACAGGGAGTTATATTTCACAAAGGAGGGCTAATGTATACCAAACCATAGAAGTGATAACAAGACCATACGAGAAGTATAACTAGCTTGGTTTTTTGGGGGGTTTTGTTGTTGTTGTTTTGGTTTGGTTTTTTTGCTATAGGGCACATGGGCTCACCAGAAAGACAGAGACAGAGAGAAAGCAAAAAATCACCTCCCAGGGGGAATGGCCATGCTGCTATCCCTTCTCCTCCATTCTCCTCTCGGGATCTTGGGCACACACGCCCGATGGGAGCTTAAGCCAGCAAGTCTGGGACTCGAACTGCGGTTGACTACATGGGAGTTCAGCGACATAGCCATTATGCTAACTGCTGGTCCCACTAGCTTGTTTTTTGTAGCATGAAAAACACAAAGCAGATAATATCAATAGTAAACAAAGATCATCTATTCAGGAGACTGATTCTGTGCTGCAAATTGTGGATTTTAAGAATTGTAATCAAAACAGTGGCAGGAATAGGAATGTACTTTGAAGATATTTTCTCTGCAAAGTAGTTCCTTTCTACAATGTTGGATAAACCAAGGTCAAACTTTGTCATCCTCTAATAATCTCATCTGTATGTCTTAAAAATCCTGGTCTGATGGGATTAAACTGTTAAGTGACAATACCACCAAGGAGGTTGTGAATATAAAACAATAAATATTTCAAAAAATTTAAAAGAGAGACAAGATGAGGAAACTATGAAATGTTCAAACTTGGGTTTGAAGGCCAGCTCTCCATCGCTTCATACCACAGCCCCACATGCTTTTCCAAAGCCTTACAGCTATCTCAACCATATACCTGTCTCCAAGAGACTGTGATGGTGTTGTTAGCTCTACCTGGACTCAAACCTAGTGTGTCCAAGTGGCATCAGTAGCTTTTCTGCAATTTCCAATTCCTTACCCATTGTGACCGGCAGGAACAAGAGTTCAAACTCCTAGTAAACCAATTAGATAAACCAAGATGTGCAGCAAAAAACAGTCCTATCATTGAAAACCTGGGATTTAAATCAACAGACTTCATTTTGACCATTTGCCCTACCAGGAGTCACACAGATGCTTAAAATATTCAGAGTTTTAAGTGATCCTTACTCTTCAATAAGCTCTTACTCTTCTGGGCTTAAAGCATTGTTTTCCATCCTTCCTCTACTGGCCTGTGAGAATTAGCTGGGTAAAGCTAAAAAACGGAATACCCAGGATCTTAACAATTTAGTTAAATCTGGTTGAAAGGTCGAATGTTCCCTTCCTCGACTGTCAAAGCAGTGGGATCAGAGGGTCTCAAATTTAGAAGCTCCCTTATCCCGGCGACATCATTTTGGGAGCTATGGTTTTGTGATTACTTTCCCAGTAGTTCTGAGCTACACATTTTTTAATCAAGCGTAACTCTGTTTCCTGAACTAAAGACACCTGAATAAACTGAAGCAAGTGAATCTTGGACATGTTGTCAAATTTGGTAGATGTCACATTTTTTCTCTTTAGAGTTTCCTTCATTTGATACCCACTTTAAACAAAAGTTTATAACTAAAGGGCGAGATCGCTATGCCTTTCTCACACTCTCCATCTTGAAGTCAGTTGGAGTATTATTATCATTATTATTATTATCTGGAGAGGTTTTAACTATAGGGCACGTGCACTCGCCAGAAAGACAGAAGAGACAGAAAGCGAGAAATCACCCCTCAGGGATGGCCATGCCGCAATCCTTTCTCCTCCATTCTCCTCTTGGGATCTTGGACACACACGCGCACACACACACACACACACACACACACACACGCCCAGCGTGAGTTTAAGCCACCAGGTCCAGGACTCAAACCGCTGTCGATTACATGGGAGTCCAGCAATACAGCCATTACGCCAGCCAACTGCTGGTCTCAAAATCAGTTGGAGGATTTTTAAAGTGCAGGTGCTGTTGTCTACATCTGCTTTTTAGACAGATACGAAGGAACTATGAAAATTCTTAGTATTTATGTAATCAGGATGAAGAAACAATATGTATATCTGTTAACTTCCTGGCCCTTTAAAATACTTATTCTGTGCATCTTTGGATTCAGAAGACTGCACCATTCATTCCTCCTCCCCGCCCTTCTTCCTCCAGCCCTCTTTTCTTCCCCCATCCCTGTTACATCTGCAGACTCAGAATTTACCACTAGATGGCAGCAAGAATTAGAGAAGACTTTGGCAGAGGCTCATTAGCTTAACTATAATGCTCTAAAACAGCAAGATGTAAAATCTTGAAAACATAGGGTAGTTTTCAAAAAATGTAGGGTGAAGAGGAGATAGGAGATTATGTTAAACTCTGGTCAACTGGTTCCCTTCCAGCATAATAAGTCCATGAATTAAGAAATGTTATGTTATCTCCTTCTTCTTTTATTCCTTTCTTTGTTTCTTCTTCCAGAATGTGCATTGACCGGAGACAGTGAGAAAGATAGGAAAAGTAAGAAAGCACCCACAAAAGGGGATGCTCATGCCACAATTACTTCTCCATTCTCCTTTTGAGATTTTGGGTATACATGCACATGTGCACAGCATGTTTCTCAAGACGCCAGGTCCAGGGCTCAAACCACACAGTCGGCCATATGAGATCTAGCCACCGAAGCCACCACACCACTGACTGGCATTATTTTTTAAATTATTTTAATTTCAAAATCTGTGCAGTTGTAGTTTAAACCAGGTATTCTATTCCCCTAAACATTAGATAATTTTGTGAAGAATTTTAACTTTGAATCTGTTTTAAACTATGCTTTGTAGCTGAATAGGGAAAATAGTAATGGTTTCTGTTTTTAAAATTTCTACTTATCTTTTCAAATAATAAAAGTACAGTTTTTAAAGTTGCATTTAAATTTTAGATATGATCTCAGTTTTAGGGCAAAATAGCCAGGATTCTAAACTAGGGGATGTAAAAGTAACAGAACTAACTATAAAAATGTTAACATGTACACAGACTTGACATTTTCCTGAAATTTTAAATCATTTCCATTTCATTATGCTCATAGGTTTATAGTCAGTCTCAAAATTTAAAAATAGCAACTTGGGTCCAAAAATTTAGAAAATGATTAAAATATATGAATCTTAGCTCTCTTTTAAAGTGACCATGTCAATATCGATGCATTTCCAATATTGGTATATAGTGCCAGTAACAGTGTCTAGAAGGTTCTAGAAGTCATCGTGGAGTAGACCAAGATCAGAACTGTGTACATTGGCAAGGGAATGACTCCTGTAAGAAACAAATATTTGTAGATACACAGGAAGAAAAACTCAGTTTGGTGCTTAGTCTCTACGACAGAGAGCATGAATTTTGTCTTGGCTTCAGCCTGCTCCTCACAAAATGCCCTGTAAATTCATCTCTGCTAATAGGAGCATACTGGAGGACTGTGGTCTTCTCTTGCCACCCCAGGGAAACTGCTAAAAAAGTTTCTGAAGAGCCAGCAAGATTTTGACTTTTGTGTATGTGGGTTTAGAAGTGCCATAAATACACAGCAAACAGCTCAACTTAGGGGAGTCTGTCCTTTCAAGACCTTTCAACTGAAATGTCAGATAATGACTTTTCTCTACCTGTCAGAGCCCCATGTCATGAGTGTCTTCTTTAAGCTGAAGGGATTTGGTTTCTTATTTCTATGGGTTTTTATTATTATTATTTCATTATTATTTTATCCATTTGTTAAAAAATGTGGTCAATGCTGCAGGTCCCAAACTTTTCTCTAGCCATAGATCCTGAGTTCTCTTGCATGCCTGGTGCTAATCACTGGCTCCCGCAGCCTCCACAGAGCAACCAGATTTGCAAAAGTAACTTTTATGATTGATAAGTTGTGGGGCTGGAATTCTGGAGGAGGGAAGTGGGGCAGGGTGGCCTGGTTTAGGGAAAGCTTCAGTCCTTGCAGCCTGCACATCAGGCAAAGACAGGCCCCTCACAGAAGCCAGCTCTGCCCTGCATGTAGCCCTGGCTATATTTAACAGCCCTTTGAAGTAAATAGGGGTCATGGAATGAGCACCAAGATGTTTATTCTAAGAGCCTCCTGTCTGTTTCCTCCTGAAAATCCACCCTTGCCCTTGAACTCTAGCCCTATAGGTAGAGAA